AAAATGCGTATGTGAACCGCACCGCCTTGTCTTTTACAAGCATACCAAGTCTTACGAATACATTTGCTTTCTGTAGAAGCCATGAAACGTCAAAAAAAAAACGAAATCTTCTGAATTGAACTTCATAAATCATATATTTCCCCTACGAATCTTGTTGCCGAAAACATGGTCTGTATATGCAAATCACTCTTTTTTGGAGTTGAAAGCATATCTCGCACCTACAAACACCTCTACTTTTTGACCTAACTCCCTTCTCGCTTGTTCTTGCGCTGATCTGTGCTCGTTCTTTACCGTAAGTGCTAGACTGTTTCCAATCTTTTCACCTCTTTGATTTGAGCGATCAGTGAACTTGGTGGTTGACATCACCTTGTGCTTGTTCACACATCACTCACATCACCTCACTGCAGGTTTCAACAATAGTTTCAACATGTGTTACGAATCTCAAGAAGCAAAAATCTGAGACATAGTGTCAAAATGAAAGCAAACATCTTTGTGTTCAGTTTCCAGACTAGTTTCCTGGATTTTCTGTGCACTTTTTGTATTCTTGTAGTCATACGTAATTTTTTGCAAATTATGGCTGAAAGCTGCAGCAAGATGTCTTTGTTTGAATTACTGTAGCCGATGCTGAAGAGCTTTTATGCGTTAAGAAGTGGAATAAAGTTTTGGAACGCGCTTCAGTTCTGGTTCAATTGCAGATGAAACCCTGAAAGTGTATAAAGCATTACTTTTTAACCAAGTTGTGAAAGTAGTAAGTGTTTTCTAACAAAACGCGATTATCAGCAGAAATTTTGCATGCAAATACTAATTGAAAATACTGTTTTGGGTTATATAGTGAGTCGAGTGATAAAAAATTGTCGAAGTTGGTTTTTTCCTCAATTAATTCTGGCTCTGAAACAGCGTCACTAATGAAATTGATTTGCTTTCTATGCGTCAATCGCATGCTATTCAAAGTTAAGTCATCCAAGAAACTCAAGTACCATTTATCCTTTTCGTTTTTTTTTTACTTTTCAACACATTATTTAACGTAGAACCGTATACCGGTTTACAAATGCACAGAACTGCATTTGCTTTGCAGACTGTGCAGATCACGTCACTCACGTCACTGTTTGATCACTTTGATGTCACAAGAGGGTTTTCCACCCTCTCGTAAATATTATTCTGCGAGGCAATCCAGATATTTTGTTCAGTAGTAGCAGCTGCATAGTTTAACTGTTATATTTTGCAAAGATCTCGTCATCTAGATTGCTGCGACTTCTCCGTTTCGGAAGAGATTGTGATGGCCGTTTTCGAAATTTGTCATGCGATTTCAAAAGAATCGGACTCATATATAAAGCACGAGCGAACATCTGGCATGAACCAATCTTGCGCTCTTTGACGACTTGTTTTCAGCATTCGCCTCACTTCATTTTCGGCTATGTTTTAGAATTGGTATGCGTCAAACTAGTCATAGCAAGCGCTACAAAAGTTTTTTTTTCAAGTAGATCTGTGGCTAGATGCTAGGAGTACAGTTCGCAATTTCTTTGCTAAAAAGAACTTACAAGCTAATTGCTCAGAATTCTTGACTTGCAGAATCTCATGTTTGTTCTCTAGAAAAATTCACTAGCGCCTTTTTCCACCAAGTATTATAAGCTTGAGATTGAGCAAAGGTTTATTCAGAATGATGCGTGATAAATTTTTGACATCAACAATTTGGTGTCCTGAGATTTCTTCGTCATAAGAAAAAGAAACTGTTGAATTTTCGTTGTAAAATCTACTAAGCTTCCATAATCATGAGATTTTTTCTTTGCTTTGGCGATTTGACTGCCAGATCCTGCCTTTCCATCAGAGAGTTTTCGCAAGTACTAGGTCGGTGCAAAAGTTTTGTCAGTTTTTTTGATCCATAGGCAATCGCGCTAAAATGAAGGTAAACGAACACTTCAAAATGCATCCGATGCAGAATTTCTTCCTCTTTCTAGCTACTAAACTCACATTGTGTTTCTTTGAGAGACTGATGAGTTATTCGCTGAAGATTGCAACCATTAAGTTTTACCATGTCCAAATTTCACTTATTTTCAAAATTTTTGTATGAGACTTTCGGAGAATCCTTAATAACCACCAGATAAGGCGAACCTTTAGCCAACGTATGCAATTTTTTTCTTTTTTTTTTCAGCTGCTTTTTCAGATTTTTGCTAAATAATTTTCTAAAAGTCTTGTGTTGTGGAAAAATCGCATAACCTGTTATTGCACCAAACACTGCAAAACCTACAGAGTACTGAGGTTTCAACACTTGTTTATTACTTTTGCTACCATTACAAAGTATATGAGCGATTTTCGCTTCAAATTATCAAAATTTTGAAATGTAGGTCACGTCAGTGCGCACTCCTGAAATTGAGAAATACTGCGATTTTCCCCACAAATTTCGCTTGTCTCGGCAAAAAAGGCAAGTGTTAGAAAAAGGAGAAAAAGCTGCATCGAATGGTGACTAAAGTGTTTGACATTTTGTGTTCTACAAAATTAAGTCACTTCAAAAAACAAATCGTAGAAATTCTGAAAGACAAGCCGTAGGGCTACAAAAAATTGCTTTTGTTGGCAAAAGGTTTGCCCTATCTGCTGGTTATTAGGGCTCCTCCGAAAGTCAAATGTAAAAATTTTGAAAATTAGCGAAAGTTGGATATGGTAAAAGGAGTAATTGTAATTTCCATCAAATATCTTGTCACTTTCGCAACGAAACACAATGAGAGTTCAGCAGCTGGAAAGAGGAAGAAATGCTGCATTGGATAAATTTTGAAATGTTTGTTTATCTTCATTCTAGCGCGATTGCCGATGGACTGAGAAAACTGACAAAACTTTTGCACCGACCTAATATTATAGTTGTGCGCGAAAAGAAGTTTCATGTCTTGATTATTTTTGAAGAGCAAAGTTTTTGCGGATTGGTTTCTCGGGTAACTGGAACGTTATTCATTTTTTCATAGTATCAGATTGAGGTGTGTTTAGTCAATCAAAAAATCTCTTTGGTTGACATTCGCCACACCCGCTCCGCATTCTCGGAAATCAAAAAAAGCTTCAGCGAATTTTTCGGCATCTTTACGACTTCTTTCGCAGGAACGCGGATTCAGTAGATAAGGAATTCAAGAGCGGTATAAAAATCAGTTATAATCTAAAGGCTTTTGAGTGCTAAACCTTTTTTATATCCACATGATTTTTCTCAGCGATGGGCAGAAGATATCGAGCTCCGCAAAATTTGCCAGCCTACTGTTTGCATCCAGATACATAGTTGACATTGAGGCAGCATTGTTTGCTCCTCTTACGTAATTAGGTGGGCAGCAAAGTGGTATCAGTCATGCGCACATTCTAGAACATGATCTATGATTGATAAGGAGATCTTTATTCGTTCACGCTGATCGCGTCGCCATTATGCTTAGCTTTTTCTTTCGTTACGCTCATATCTGTTGAAATTCCACGTCCACCCTCTAAATCAGCTTTTATCACCTTGCATGCTCATAGGAAAGAGATAGGGTGTAAATAAAACCTCATAAGCTTCTACATCATAAAATGAAATTGACATGCTATTTTAGAGGGAAAGCGCAGCCAGTTTTCGAAAGGCTTCTGTGTGGAAATAATATCCTTACTCTGGTATTTTCTGGGTTACAGAGATTAGGAGATCAGGGCAAGTAGTTATAATTTATATATACGTGAACACAGTTGCCAATCTTCTTAAGTGTATTATTTGTGTATCATTATTTTCGAATTCGCGTAAGCTATATGAGTATTGATCTGTTCATCGCACTGTGATATACTAGTTAACATTTATCTTATCATGGTAAAGTATCTTTCACAAGCCTTTTGCGATTCTATATGACGATTTTTGCAGTCTGATAGCTATAATACGATGTCGAAACCAATCGTAGTAACTGCTAGTCAGTTTTTTTTTATAATTTGGCATTTTTTCGCTAAATCGTATGGACACCTTGTGTATTTTCAGATATCTGAAGTACTTGTAACATCCATACTAGGTATACACATCGTAGTAGTGTGAGAATGTGCCCACAATTGAATTGGCTGGAATTGCGTGCTTGCCTGATGAGGTGGCCCTATCACTTGGCCCATTCGCGTTAGGAAATATGGATAGCCGTTTTGGGTGTGCTCCTAGCTTCTGAGAGTATCTGAGAACCTTCTGCCTAGCTTCCTCTCGGCGTTTGGACATTTCATGCGTTTCCTTTACTAATTATTGTGAACGAGTGGTTATGACGCCTTTGGTTACATGTGCTTTTCATCTCGTCTGCTATGAACAATCTCGACATGTATGTTGCTGATTCTATCAGTACCCTGTTTTTTTGCAAAGTAACATACCTCCATCCTTAGTATCCTTCTATAGCTGTTCGGAAGTATGCTGAAAATATAAGTCTAAATAGCCGTGAAATTTGCAATCCGGAAATTCCAAAGCGCCCACCTAAACTTATATTTCCGCGTGGAATTCCTGAAAAAGGTGCAAATCTCGAGTGAAAAATAGAACTTACATAGTACAAGCAGCAAGAGTAGATCTGAAATGCTTTTCCTTCTTCCATAGTGTATACGAAACAAAGCTCGTGGTGTTCTATATTACTATTAGAGAACAACTCGAGGTTAGAGCAGTTCCGTATTTCACCTTTTTTCTGCATTGTTATGACAGCAGAGGAATTCAAATGTTCGCTAAGGCCTATCTTCGTCCACAAATGAGCATCATCCAACCTGTTTAGTACTGTGGACGTATTCATCAACGAACCCAGTGGGTTCCGGAACCCACTGGGTAGGCTTAACCCACGAAACCGGTATTCACGAAGCTAGTGGGTTAGCGAGCCCAGCAATGCTTAGGATGTATCGATCCTAGTCTGTGGGTCCGCGAAATCACGAAATCGCGAACCCACTGGGTTGCGGAACCCATTGGGTTCGTTGATGAATACGGCCGCTGGAGATGATTTCTCGCCATTAAATACTTGGGTTTTTTCTTCTAAAGTACCATTCTAAGAATAGCTTCATTGCAGGGAATGACAGTTTCGCTCCAAGCGATGGAGATTTCTGCAGCCTCGCTGGCAGCTATTGTTCGAAATGCCGATGCTACTACGGTACCTATTTATTTGTGCAGTCGAAGTGTCCTCATTACGGTAGTTTTGTTTAGCTTATCGTGGATTGCCGATGCTTGGCCGATTTCAAGCAGTCACACATCCGACGAGCCACGAATCCCTTCTATTCTAAACTGCTTCAACGGCGTCTGCTAGAAGACAAGGTTAGCAAGTTCTTTCTTCCATTAGTCATCCTCTTTGTTTGGAGCTACCCTAGGAATGTTCGCTGATTGGTCTTTACAGGCTAAAGCAGTCAATCATTTTATTCTTTTTCCGAACTCATCTCTTTAATTTTCTTGAACTCATTTCAAAGCATTTCTATGGTTGCATGCCTCATTAGAGCTCTCTTGTAACTTTTTTCAGACTCACATGGTAAAGATTATCGATTTAAATAAGAAGATAGTATTAGACTTCTGTCTCTTCAAAAATGGAGAGTTCTGGAATTTTTTGCGCAACTATGCGCACCTTCAAAGGAGAATCGTTCGATCATTATATCTATACATCATGCCTAGAAAGTAGAGGAGAGTATCAGGAAGAGAAAAATTCTGCAGTGAATGATCTCTAGACTGTTTGTTGATTTGTGAGACTAGTTCTGGTATTATTTTTAGAAGACATGGATAACAGCGAGAGTGAGGAGTAATTTGCGCCAATACCAAAAATAGAAGTATTTGTTTACACTGTTGTTATTGGCAAAGAACCGAGCGAATCAAAAATATGTGACGTGGTGTCCAAAAAGATCTTGGGGCTCGCTAATGATTAGTTTTCCTGGTTGCTCGTAGGTTTTCTAGAGGAAAAAAATCTTCCATGAGCTTTCGCATATATAAGGTGTCTCAAAAGTACCTAAGTACACACTTTTTGATCGTCAATGACTCTTCAAACAAAACCTTTTGTTTAGATCTAAGCACTATTGTAGAACAGGCTTCAACTTAGATCTATAGTCAGGAGTGAACCATTTATCGTTCTTCATCACTGTTGGATTACGGCAAGAATTTCAAGAATAATTTTGAGTCGTGGAACCTCAGTTCTTTTCAGAAAGCACAGTCACTACAATACCTCTTTTCATGCTCTAGCACGCAACAAATTCCGATTCCCTGACCACTGATTTTTCGCTTGATCGTTTTTGTGCTGTCTGCCGAATTTAGAAATCTCACAGACTTTTTATCTGAGGTGAACTTTGTAAAGCCCTTGATAACTTCTTCCGGTCCCTTCCCTTCACACATTCCCTCTCCGCTCGCAGCTAATAAACGTGAGAAATTACTCAACCCATGAATCAAACTTGACAGCTTGCCACATGAGTATTTCTTTTCCAGACTTTTTTCCCATCGGAATGCGTGTTTGTTTAATTGAAAGAAATACGTGATTATCGTTCCGTTGAGCGTTCAGATCCTCCAGGGTTTTGCACTAAACATATGACTAAACGAACCGCGCGCGACACATGCGCCTCATGAGTCACGCGTGAATGCTGCTCGACTACAGTACAAATTATGATTTCTGTTCAAGTAATGAAAGAAAATGCAGTGCTTCGGTTCCACTTTCGTGATGGAACTGCAAGAAATCTTTGGCTAAAGTGGTATTGGAAGAAGAATCGCTAATAATGTCATGTTTTTGTGATGCCTTGTACTAATTTCCCCCAAAAGATTAGAGGTCTGATTTACTTTTGCAGTTAACTTCGGTTTCCGAAATCCACAAATATTCACTGTTCCAGAAATGGGACTTTCGCTCCTAAAAATCCCAGAGATTCTTACTCGCTCCTGCCATAGCGATACATGCACTCATCTATATAACCTGCTATATTTTTTCCTGTTTAGAAATCAAGAAGAAAATTGAAAATGAAAAAGGGTAAAGCCTCAAGAACTCCCTACTTTACGAACTTTCGAAACGTTGACCATAAAATTCGGCGGTGTAATTGCTCGTTCTGTGAAAAATTTATTTTTAGCAAAAAAAAATTGAAAATAACAACATTTTCATCCAGTGGTAGATGTGTCCCAATTGCGCTGCCTCCTTTTGCTCTGTGTATCGCGCTCAGCAAAGGCTAGTTTTTCATCTCAGTTTTAGCAAAAAAAGTTGTTCAACAAGAATTTCCAAGCGCTTGAGAGTTTGCATACAAATTTTATTGCATTGCTTCGCTCTGTGTTTAGCTGGTTCGTAGTGACCATAAACTCGCTGCTGAAAAGGTCATGTCTGAGTCATAGATCTTTTTCTGAAAGGCGCTCCTTTTTCTCTCGAACGAGTGCTAATCGAAAAATGTTCATTCGCTTGCGCTGCAAATTCTATATAATGAGAAATTCCAAGGTCTAAAGGATTTAGCATTAGTCAGCTGGATCTATTTTTGGTGTATGCTACTCATTAGTTCTCCATTCTGTTTGGATTATCTTTTTTCTTACTTTTGATGAATGGAGCTGGAGGCAAATCGTAAACAGCAGCTGCAATTTCATAGTTCATTGAACACAGTTTTTTGTTCTAGCAAGATCTTTTTGCGGGCACAAATTTTGCAAGTGAAGAGGTGAGAGGGAGAGGGTGCAAGTTCTTTCTCCCTGCTTCGCTATTCCACTATAATCTGGCGATCCCCGTATATAATGTTTTTATTATGGTACCAAAAACTCATCAAAACTTGTAAAATGCGAGCCTAAATGTTTTACTGCCGCGGAGTCGGATATACAGTATCTTCATGGACTTCAGCAGTGACTTGGTGTAATTGCACCACTTTTGAGATCTGCAGTAGATCATGCCAATAGCAGTGGAGTCATTATCATGATTATGAAAACGTAGAAAGGACGAAAAATTAGCAAGAAAACATGCGAAAAGTAGGAATGGGCGTTTGCTATTGGCTTCTCACAAAAAAAAGTAGTGCAATTGCGTACGGCTTGACTTGAAAGGAGAGAGACTGTAGCAGTTGGTTTTTAATAAGCACATCATTTGTTCCCTTGCCCTTTTCCCATGGATTTATAAATGCCATTGCGCAGTATTGTGAAGTATCATACATCGTGTGACTACTTCATTTGCCATATAAGATGTGGCATTTCAAATGCGGCCGTGATGTAACCGGAAGAGTGAATAACCTTACGATCTTGGCGGGTTTGCTCTCAATTTTGCGAACATGTCATGCAAAACATGTGATCTCCTCTTGTAAGAACAGAATATCTGGAATGTTTCTTATACGCGACGCAATTATGACGTAAAGGCAAAGATCAAGAACAAGTGAATAAATAGCTCCCACTTCCGTCATTTTGAATCTTTTGCGCATCAGCTGGAAAATATCGTATTTTTTGCGCTTATATCTCGTTCTAATTCTGATAATAATACAGCCTCGTCTATTAGATGGAATAAATTTGTTGTCGTCTTTTTTAGTCTTGATTGCATTTGCTCATTTGAAATTTTCAGAAATAGACAAACTAAATAAAAAGGTTACATACGTAGCACATGACGATAACTATCCTGCGATTGCTGTCGATCTTTCTATCTTACAATATTTTCTGGTTTTAACGTTTTCAATAACCATGAACCCATCAGCAGAGTAGTATCCGATATTCTTGAATTTTTTTTAAACATTTTGAACCAGATCCCTTTAAGCATATCCAATAATTATTATCACTTTACTAGTTGGCATACCCGGCTCCGCCCGAGCCTGTCATTATTATATTCGTAATCAACATGCTCGATTACCCCCCTATGCCAACCCCCAGCCCTGTAGCTCAAGTTTTGCAAAAAATCGATAAAATCGATATCGATCGATAACGAAAAGTAGCCTATGACACGCTCCCTGCCCCGAAGTATATATGTGCCAAGTTTGGTCCAAATCGGTTCAGAAATAAAAATTTCTATTCCGCACATACGTACAGACATACAGACAGACATAACAGACATTCAGCTTTATATATAAGATTTGAAGCCTTTTCATAAGTCAAGACTTCCCATCTGTCAGAAAGCTCATGCAGGAAGTGCATTATGTTTTTCCGTAGTTTCTCTCGATATTAACTTTTATGAAAAAAAAAGTGCTTGTATCTTTCTTTTCTATCCCATGACTTATCGAACAATCTAGCTTCTTATGAATTACAAACTCTTTGCGTAGCTATGGTAACAGTGTTTTGAGTCATTGTATGCAGAGGTGTTCCCTCCTCCCACCGTCCCATATTTCAGCTTTCAGAATGAGTCAAATGCCTTGTTTATGAATGACGAATTTACGCATATCTGCTTCAAATAGTGACATCAAATTCGCGTGATTCATCCTCCATCCCATTACCCATATATAGGTTAAACGTGCTTCTATAGTGGGTTGCTCAGCTTTTCGCCAGGGCTTACTCATCCATTCCTATCCTAAGAAGCAGTGGTATGAATCAGACGGAATTTCGTTCCATCTGCACCAGGCACTCCTTTCATTCACAGCGATGACCGCCACACGGATCTATGATTTAAGGGCTAGTGACTCATCGGCACCTTCTTGTCCTCTCTGTGACTCACGCTGACCGCTCTCTCGTATTGTGTCGAGAGGGCGGAGCTCGTACGTACAACGAACCAGCTCCGCATGCGTCATCAACCCCCCCCCCTCCCCGCATAGTGTTACGTATTTATTGCAGTTCAGTCAGTTCACCTCGTCAGTGTGAGTACTTGACCTCTTCAAAGCTCCTTGTATCGATTCTTTAGTTATCCTTGTTATCTTTATGATTTGGAAAAAATGCCAATTAATTTGGTGAAGCTGGCAGCCGCCCATATCATATCCTTATCGGGTTTCGTTGACAATGCTGTCACTGACCCCCTCCTTTATTACTAGTCAACAGCTGCCTTATTCACTCTACTGTTTTTATTCGTCACGTTTTAGCTGACACTGAACGTCTTAGAATAAGAGTTCATCGAACATCGCTATCTCTTTCAATCTTTGTTCTCACAGACAAACCTCAGAAATTGATGGTACAAATTATGTTATGTAAAGGTTAGATGACCTCTTATTCTGTTCTATTCGCTTAGCTTATTCGATATGCTTTTTCTTTATTAGATCTTCATTCACCATGCTGAAATTGACATCTGATTGAAGAGTTATTGAAATGACAAACTTCTCAAACATAATGATTTACAGAAATTTGTCTCCTATATGGGTAATAATTTTTCTGGAAATTTTGATCGTATTTGCTCATTTTGGAACGTCAGTAAATAGAATAAAGCTAGAAATATAACACCTGATGATATTTATCTTGGAGGCTGTCAATTCTTTTCTTTTGCATATTTTTCAATAACTGTGAGTCTTTTACGGGATTTAATATCTGATATGTTTGTATTACGGAACATGATATTTGAACATTTTTTTAGAACTGCATATTTTTTTATTCCTCATCTTTCCCATTTCATTCTTCGCGAAATGAGCGCGTCACCGTTTTCTAAATGGTGTTTAAGTGCAACCTGTTTCCTGGTTTTTTTTCGCAATCGTTCTCTTTTGCACATCGTGTTCTCCAAATATATGACGCAGTGTAATCAATATTTAGTTTACTTCTACATATCTGCAAACTTAATAACTTGAAATCGATCTGATTTTTAATAATTCTGAGTTGGATCCGCATCCCAAGTTTTTTCCATCTCTTGCATGTCATAGATAAAACTTCCATCTGTTTTTTGCAGCTGCAGGTAATTTTGTTATCAGTGCCTCTGTTGACAATCATTTTTTGCGTTTGCTATAGAACACTCATGACTCACCCGCGGCTTGGTCGCTTTTCAAACTCGATATCAGCGCCATGCCTTCCCGAACCGGTTCTTAAGACGTTCCTTTTCTGTTAATGAAGGTGTCCACTTATTTGGCCTGTATCTGGGCTCATTCATCATTACGGTGTTGATGTTCATGATGCCTAAGAATTTGTGACGTATCCCAGTGATACAGCAGTTGTCCAAATTTGTCTTTGTTTTTGATTTTTCTCTGACGGTGTTGAATAACAAGTTGTGAAACTATTCCATAGCCTTAAGCGGTTGTTTGTAGGTTGATCACGTTCGCCTTGCTAATCAGTTACGTTCGACCCTTTGCGATAAGCAACTCGAGAACGAAATGGTCGACGTCGTCCTATACACCGATGAACAACCAGACAAACCATCGAGGTTTTGCCCAAAAAGAAGGTGAACCCATACTCCTTTAACGCGCACGTCCATTGCCCCCACTATTTTTTGCAATCTAGCTCGTCTACGAAATGAGAGAATAAATGTGCATTGGACGAAACTCGGGTGCAACGATGAATATCTCTTCTGTTTCTTAGAATGAACGCCTGTGCGCAGTTGGAAAATCCAGTGAAGGTTTTGCGGAAGTTACGAGATCAACTCGAGTGCACAAACGCTTTTGGCAAGATTCAAGTGCTTGAGGGTGAGTTACTTCTTTTGGTTAGCGAATAATTTTCAGATAGTAACTTTTTTTTGCCCTCTTTTGAATCCATTTTTTTGAATTCCAAATTGCAAATTGCACAATTCACAAATACTAGTGCAGTCAAGTGCTCATTGTCACGGGGACCAAATGTATTTGCAGTAGTGCACTCACCAAATTGACGCTCCATTTTTTGCAGAAATTTAGTTCGTATACTTCCATCCTAGTCCTTCCATAGTGTTTGTTTTCTTTTGTTTTTTCGTGTTTTACTGCTGTTCCCCTCAAAATTTTACCCTGACTTTTTTCTATCTTCTAGAAATTGCCCATCGTTACCGCTTTGTAATATCACATCACATTCTTCCTTCTCTCGAGGAGGCGCTTTCTGTCCTCTGATGAATCTCGATTATCCGTCTTCTTATGCACATTTCTGCCTTCAGTGCAAAATTGGCTTCGTCTGTCGGTTCTTCTCTGCAAGCCGAACAGCCTCGGAAATTCTTTGGTTTTATGTGACGAGCATGTCTTCTCACATAACCTTTGCTTAAATGTCGCATTGCTGTGAAATTTGAATACGCTTGGGAGTTTCGCGATCAAATTCTGTCGTATTTTCGGAATCAGTCCTTCGTGCATTTCGAGGCCAATGCTGTTCTTTCAAGTTCCAGTTTTGATGTTCATTTCCTTGCAATGTTTTCTTTTCATAATACGGTATGTCAGGGCTTTTGAGAGAATCCTTAGAAATGTGTAACATCTTCCCGAGCCACACTTTGCCCCCCTTCCCTAATCGAGTGAACCTCGGTGATGATGAAGAGATGGGAACTCGCTCCAGTGCCTCTCACACTGGATTACTCATGTATGCGTCATTCCAGTGAGAGAGAGCCTCTATTCAATAGGAAAAATCTGCTTGTGCAGTGCTGCGAAGTTTTTCAATTAGTACAATTTTTAAAGGTGAAAGTTGAGTGGTTTTTGAAGTGAGAATGAGTCCTGTGGAAAGTCTAATTCGTTTTTTTTTTAAAGTGTTTGGTTGCCAGGTTACTAGTTCCTCATCTTTTTTAAATTCATACTTAAATTTTACGGCTTTAAGGCTTACCCGCTACCTTCTCATTTGTGGCACTTTTTTGTTTGAAAATTATCAGTTTCTATTGCGTATCTCGCCTAAAATTTTCGTAAATGTGATCCTTTGCTATCATCTAATCTTACATTTGAAAAACAAAGCTGTGCAAACAGATTGTTGATCGATTTGACAATATTCAAGTGAAATATTTCCATGCACATCATTTGGATCACATGTACTCAGCTTTGAACCCCCAGTTACATTCTCTTATGTTCTATTCTCGGTTATCTAAAGCCCATATTTTGATAATACCAAAGTTTCAAGAAGTGCGCGCAGATATCTATAAGGCGACATAGATATTTTTTCAAAGTCCCCATTTCTCCATCTCTGACGTCGACTAAGAATTATTTTGATTTGCTGCAGGTTCCAGTAGGTTTGCACAGAAAGTGCAGCACACTAAAATTCTTGGAAATTTTCAAGAACTGGTGTGCGTCGCTTTTTTTGCCGACCAGTGATGATTCACACATGTGATAGAGCAGTTATCTCTCTCACTTTGCTGGGTGGAGCTCGCCAAACTACTGTTTCGATGATTGAGACTATCGCGCATATCTGCTGTACAATGCGTTTAGTTTGGTGATAAGAAAGAAAGGAAAGAATCGGAATCGGTTTTGGATATGCACGTAAAATAGTACTGTTAGATTTGTTTTCATAGAATATAAATGATTGCAGGACAAATTGATATGCACATTGTCTAATTACGAAATTAATTAATCGGCTTACTCTCACTTTATTTGAGCTGAGCTTCTGATTTTTGGCGAATTGGTGGTTTTAACGTTATCTCGCTAAGAATGTGAGGCTTTATAAAAGGCTAATTTGATGTGAAAATATTGATGATTTCACAATTTGCGAGAGCAACACCTAATGAGGAGATATCAAATTGCATGATAGGCAAGTTTTTTCTTTCATTTTTTAAAAGCCGTGAAACTTGTTTGAGTCAAGTAGAGGCTTCATAGCTTTCAAAGAATGATATCAAAAATTAGTGCGATATTGATGGTCCTGCATTAATTGAAAAACACAAAAGAAAAAAGTCCGCGGAAGTTTCGCCTTCAAGCTGTGCTGTTTGGGATTGTCGAGGTAAATTGAAATAAATCTGGAATGAGAACTTTTTGAAGTATGATTTGTACTACAAATAAAATATTACAAAAAACTACTTTTTGAATGCTAAATATCTTTACTCAGTTTCTTTCTTTCCCTTAGACGAAGTTTTGTTTTGAGTTGACTTCCCTATTTTCAAAGATCTTAATGTCCCAAAAGGAATAAAATCATTTTCGCGATTTTCCAAGTCCCATTCAGTCCCTGCTCCCCGCGTGACTCATCGTCTTTGCGTGCACGCGAGAGCTCGCTGAATATTGTTTAGAGTAGTGCTCCTAGCCATGTGCGGGGAGGGGACCCCCGTGACTCGCAGCCGCCGCTCGAGTGCCATCCAGCCCGCGGTGCCGGAGGACATGCGGAGGGGCGGGGCGCGAGCGTGAGTCATCGCACATCGATCGCAGCGGGCCGCGTGTTTTCAGCGATGGCGCGGCGGCGGGCGAAAGTCGCCGGTCTGCGTCTCTGGTCCGCGCTCGGTGTGGCTCTCTGCGTCTGTGCGCTGTCGCAAATCCGCGATTCATATTTGGCATAAGCCGTCACACACTACTTCTTCCTCTTCAGCGGCTCTGCGCTGAGTATTCGACTCGAACTCATCGGCTGCTCCCTTCAGTGTCCCACACTGAACCCCCAGATATCGTCCAGATTATACGCCCCATCAGTTCTACCACCACCCCCCCCCCTTCGTCACCCCATTCTTCAAACGTGATTATTCTCTCCAAACATGAGAGAAGATAAGAAGAAAAAGAAGAATAAGCAAAGAAATCGCAGGCCCAAAGCCAAGCTGCAAGTCCAACAGCAGCCGCAAGAGTCCACAGTGCCAGAACCCGCCGAGGTGAAAACTTTGGTGACCGTCGAAGAACCGTCAACAAGTGAGCGAACATTTCTTTCCCCGTATATGGACAGATTATGGGTTTTGAAATAATATATGGTGATGTCAACGATTATCTTTCGATGTATCACACCCGCATGATGATAAGCGCAAGTTGTCATGACAACCTCGCCCTTTCCCTGAGCTATGTTTCATTCGGTCACGAACATCTACATGATGTCATTGTATTCATTCTTATGTAGTTTCCATCGAGTCTGGTTGAGTTTGGGAAAAATAACGGAAAAGAAATTTTGAGTTTCGCGCTGCCCTAGTTCTAGTTTCATTGTTTCTTCTATGAAGGTCACGCTCTCTTATCCCATTAATTTTCCATATGACTTTCCGCTCTTTCAAGAATCAAGTACCCAAGTATTTGTAAAATCCTCAAAACTTCTGTGCTTTTTGTTTTTAGAATTTTTCGCTTCCTATTATGAGGAAAGCAGGCCTCCCTGGTCGCATTAGTCATCATTTGGAACTTCCAAAACCCTTTATTTTCTATCATGGGGACAGTAATTTTATCTTAATCACTTCGAATAGATAAAAACCTTCTTCTAGTGCTGCTGCTTTGCTTGCTTTCGTAAATCTCCACCTGTCACCTCTAATTCATTCCACATTCTCTCTAAATAATGCTCGTTGTTCCACTATCAACGACGACCTTGTGACAACCAGAACTGTCGTAGGCCGGCCGTTTTTTCAACTAACAGCTCACCCCTTTAGAAAAAGTTATGAATCATTGGCGACCGTTTTGTGTACTGGGCTGTTGAGCACCTGCGTAGTCATCACATTGAAGAGGAGCGCTGCGGTACACGCAGTGAATTCGCTAATCATTTCTTTGATAAAAACCGTTTGTTCTTCGAGTAGGTGAGTAAGACAAGGATGATTTGACGGTACCAAGATGAATACCGTAACAGAGATGTCACAAATGTAAAGGAATGGTAGAGGAAAATGTATGGAAGAGAGAGAGAGAGAGTGCGAATGATCCGAAGAGCGAGCGATGTCACCTGTGTGTCAGATGACTCATACCCCCGTGCGCACACTCAACCCCGCTCATTGATTTGCTACCAGAGCGAACCAGCTCAGCCCATTCAATAATTTTTTTACCACCATTTTTTTACTACCATTTTTTTACCTCTTGAGCTACCGAATCGCTCAGCAAATTCTGGGTGTTCTGACTTAGCTCAATTTTTTGAGAATTTCTTGCGTTGATATGTTGCTTACTTTTGCAAGTTGCCAATTCCATAGAAAATTTATGACCTACAAATGGGTTGTTTGAATTTTTGATAAGGAAACATACCGCCCTACGTGACAATCATCTGTCATCATGAATGTACCCCGAATGACTCATACCCTTTCCGAGCCTTTTTGTAAAGTACACGCTTCGAGAGCGACTTCTGATCGCTTTGTTCGAGAGAATGAGGGAAGATCTGGTAATACCAGCCCTTCCCAAATAATTCGAAGAACGATCACCTTCAATACCGAAACTTTAGGAGTCGTAAAGATCTCGATCTTCAGCGCCGAAATGGTCATCACCGGCGCTGAAGATCATCTGGCGACGGCGCAACTTGCTACCCCCCCCCCCCTCCCCTCGCATGTGTTTACTATTACTGTTGACGTTTTTTTGCGAGTGGAAACGAAGCAGTGACGATAACAAGTAGTGTGCTTTCTCATTCGTCAGCGTTTGAAAGAGTGGAGTACGAAGTGTCTGACCATGTGACCCGCTGAAATCCCCTCATAACAACAGTTTCGACAGTTATTCGGATTAGATCATTCACTTCCCTTTTCGTTTTTTTTTCTTCTGGTTTTTTGGCTTCTCGCCTAGATTTCTCGCCTCGAAGTCTCCTAAGCACTTATTTTTCTGGGAGTGTTACGACGAGTTTTACGAGCCTTCTTCATTCTTCGCTCGTGCTAAGTGCGCTGAATAGCGAGAGTGAATGCGTTATTGCGTATGAGTCATTGAGAGCTGGTTGTTGGGTTTTTATCAGTGGACTCGAGCCGGTAAACTGGCAATATTAGGGGTTTTCACGTGCGTTTATGGTACTTCTTATCTAGAAGATTTGCTCGAGGAGTTAAAACCATTTCATAATTTCGAGAATTTTGATTATTGCGTAACGTCCCGAAGCATTTGCACTAATTATATGTGAAATCAAGGCAGCAGCGAGAGTAGTTGAATAATTTCATCAGCGATCTAAATAAGGGGTCTTGGCTTTGTTAAAGTATATAGCAAGTGCAGTGACTCACTTGCTACGCTCTCTGATGTCCGTCTGTTGACTATTTCGCTTCAGTTAACTGCTACTTTGGTATATAACTCGATATCAGATTACTCTTTATGCAGCGACGACTTCTCATTTCGTTTTTATAAACTCTTTTGTGGGCAAATTTTTGAACTTACACCCTGAAATTTGAGATTTTTGTTATGACTCAGTTACTACTGATATATTTTGTACTCATGTAACGAAGTCAATTTACGCTTGGTCTTTGATCAGCATAGTGCGCTTCTTGAACTTATCGCGATTAATCACATGTTGCTCTGAATCACCCGCTCGCATCATATGATATTTTCTAACAGTGATTCCAAAATGGCGTATCAGCAGATATTGCCATATTTGCTCCGAGTAATTTGATACCTGATAAGGACCAAAAATCATGAAATAAAAACATCTCAATGGTTGTTTTTGGAAAGCTCATGTTCAAGGTTTTTTGCTAGTCAAATGCTTTGAACAGTTTCCGCTACTATGACACATCATGTCCTTGTTTATAGCTAGTGTATCTCTTACCTTTCATGTGGCCATACGTTTTCTAATGATTTTTGATGTCTTAGATCTGCAAAGGGCGAGATTGCAGCGTTTTTTCCTAGAATGCAACAGTCTCTAATTCCAAAACTAATGTTTACTATAGTGCCAGTCTAGACGAGCCTATGTAACGCACATTATCAGAATAGCAAAGTGGCTTTGCCTCAGATTGGTCTTTGAGCTTATGTCCTGGTCTTTTTCTCTTCGTTTTTGGATGGATTTAGGGATTCTTGGAACTAGTGATCTATAAATTCTATGCAAAATGCTTTCAAATTTACCGCATCGCTAAGTCCAACTCTTTTTCAGGTGGCTTCCAAAATTTCCGGCTACAATTCCCACAACAGTGCGAAAGCGAGCATTCGAGCGGTGTTTGTGGTATGAGCCGATTATCGGCTAGTATCTCACAACCGTGCCTTTCATCCATCAGTCTACATTCTCCCCCGGATGGCCCCACACAGATCTTTCCGTTTATGTATCTCGGAAGTCAACAAGACGCATTAAATACGGAACAAATGAAGGTTTTTTTGGATGGGTAGAGGAAAGAGCTGTGAGTAAATTCAGTTTTTTTTTCAGGAGCGAGGTATTACTCACGTAGTTAACTTATCGATTGGATGTCCACGAGCGTCAGCTATAACTAGCGATGAAAATTTCCTCCGAATTCCCGTCAATGATTCATATCAGGAGAAGCTGTCACCACATTTTGAGACCGCATGGGAATTTCTGGGTGAGTCAGCGCGGCACACAATTCGTCTCGGCTGCGTTGTAGTGCAGTTCGGCCGGAAAAATTTCCGCCATTATGTTGAGAGCTGAATGCTATGACGCAAATGCACGGACATGAGTCACTTGAGGTTTGCGTAAATCCTGGCCTTGAAGAAGGGGGAAATGGGAAAGGTTTTTGGGGGTGATTTTGGCACGAAGTTGAGGGGCGTTCTGGTTCTGGCTTTTAGAAATTTCGCGCTAGAGAAATGTTCTAAAAAAGAAAGACCATCAGTCATACCCATCCAGTTGTACCAGGAAGGTTTAAAATGAATGATTTTAAGTGCTTTGTCTAGCAATCTGTTCTGAATGAAAATTTTGTTGTTTTTAGAAGGAGTTCGGAGGTCAGGAAACGTTGTGCTCATCCATTGTTTGGCTGGAATATCTCGCAGTCCTACATTAGCCATATCATACGTTATGCGATACAAGAACATGTCCTCTGAAGATGCCTATAGGTACGATTTGATGAAATTCTATGACATTTTGCATTGCTGAATGTTTAATTTTCAGGTTGGTGAAGGAGAAGCGACCGTCGATTTCGCCAAATTTCAATTTTATGGGTCAATTGCTTGAATACGAGCAGCTTCTGATCAAAAAGGGCCTCTTATCAGCAGAGGCCTCATCGAAACGGGTTGATCGGCCACTTTCGTTGAAACAAGAATTTGATGCAGAGGTATGTTTCAGCAAGTAATCTGTGCTTTCTGTTTTTTCCTGTCCTATTTTTTCTGAGATTATGTGTTCTAGGATACGGACCCAACCGTTGCACCAGCGACAAAAGTGCCGAAATCAGCCTCCACTCATTGTGTGTTCTTTGATCGACCCCGTGACTTCTCCACAATCACCTCAACCGCCCGAGTAAATGAGAATGGAAAACGCGGACTGAATGATTCACTGGATCGTCCGAAAGTTCTCGGCCTCTACAACGCGGACACAAAACGACACGTCGCCGAAGAATTACCATCACCGTCGACAGAATTGTCCAAACTGACCTTTGCCGGCTGCCTTCCGTCACCGTCATCACCGATGGTTGAGACGCCAAATCTCAATCTGTCTTTGTCGAATCCCTGCTTTGTCTCGCCGACGAGGGAAACGCCAGAGGCAGAAAGTAAACATACGGAAGAATGCGAGACGAGCCGGCGCAGTTACTTCAAACATCGGATAGTGTCGTTTTTCAAGGTAATTGGCTGGGTTTTGTTATACAAGGTGCTGAATTTTGAATAAAACTATCAATCCAAGTCGTGAATGGGGTTGTAATTCCGTAACAGTGTCGCACATTACTCGTCAAGAAAGTAGCTGAACTTCACTGGAGTTCACGGAAATGCGCGTCGTATCGCCATATCTTGGTTCAGAATGGACGAATGCGGAATCTAAGAGCATTGTTTAACTATGCGAATGTCGAACTCCAGTGGAGTTCGGTGACTTTTTTGTCGAATTTTGAGCGGTATTGTAGGTGTGATGTGTATCCATCATTCTAGTTCTCCTGGATTATAATATTTCGCCTTTTTTTCGTTATGCTGCCACCTTGTGCTATATTTTTTATCTGAATTGGCATCACAAAGCCATCTCACATCAAATTGTACATGCCATTTCAATGCTTTTTGCTTCCCACTAAATGCCCTTTGAGCAGAACTACTTATTCTGATAGGCTGACTCACTCGTCGTGGAAAAAACTGCTATCTAATCGCAACGTTTTTGATATGCGTGCATGCAAAGCTAAATGTTACTGAAATAAAGTCATGATGCAAAAGGAAAAAGTATCATGATGAAGTAAATGTCAGCTTGCATTTGTTTTTAGAAAATTATGATCTCCCTTTTTAGCCACAACATCCCTCCAGTCCCTGCTGTACCCCGTCTTCTCAAAAAACCTCTCGCCCTGAAAATCTACAATCTGCTGGAGTTCCATACCTAGGAGTGAGAAAACATAACAAATCGAATAGTCCTATGCTTAACACGACAGTAGAAGAAGTCGAATCTTCGCCTGAATCAGGCTATCAGGTTGGTAGCTGTTTAACTTCATCAGAACACAATTTCTATCGTGCCTATATAGTGTATGTAGTTTCAGGAAGGCGAGTACAAGACCTCACCGGAAGACTTAGACCGCGTTTCGCTGAGTTCGGCGAGTAGCGAGATTGCAGTACAGTAGCCGTGTGTAGCCGCGCACTTTCCCGATCTACTCTCATTTTCGTCTGACGAACATTTCTCCGTCATCTTTCCTTATCAGTCGTCTTTATGGCAGCTGTTCAGTCCACGTTCAATACGTTTCAATTATATCTTTCAAACGGGTATCGCATATGTGACTTTACTTTACTACGGACCATTATAAATAGTCTAGAGTTGTTTGTATTCATCACACACAGCCATTTACAGTGTCTCTCATCCAGTTTTGTTTTTCTTCAAATTTTATTCGAGAAATAATGTGCACATCTAGTTCGTATACTTTCGTGTCCTCATTTCGTCGTTTTCCTCGCTACCTAAACCACCTAGGTGGATAGAAGTGTAAGGTGATGTGTATCAGTATAAAAGAATAACTATAGATTCCAAACACGGGGTATTTGAAACCACATATGGATTGTCTTCGTTGAGTACAACTTGAAAGTGCAAAAAACTGAACGTTAAATTGAGTGTTACCTGATTTGAGCAAAAAAATTGGTGTACCCTGGGTTGAGCAAAAACTTACATATATTCATATACCAGCGGTGGTCGCAGGATTTCTGACCACTCACTCCGGAAATTTTGGGGTGCTTCTCAAAATTTTGCTGGCCCACAGTTTCTAAAATCTAGAAAAAGGAGAAAATTTTTTCTACAAGGCTAATTTGAATTTTGAAAATCTTTATAAAATATTTTAATTATTTAAAAGAATGAACAAATCACTAGCACATTTTTATAACCCATGTTATAGAAATTACCGTGTAAGTGAATTGCAAAAATTTCGCGATCCATACTCGAGGAGGGGGGGGGGGAGGCCCCGGTCCGCCACTATCATATAAATATTACCTCGTTTTATAAGTTCCCAGAGGTGTTACTCTTCTCCTCACTTCATTGAGGAGGGGTTCGTTTTCGCAGTTTCGTTAGATGGAAGTCTTGTAGGGCAAACAGAGGCGTTTTTATATACATGAATTTTGCGTTTTTGCTAGATTTTCACCGATCATGGAATATGGCCTTAGCACGTTAATATGAGACAATAAAGTTGGATTGCTCCAAAAGACCGCGGCGTTTAACGGAGTATCCCCTGAACGAGGCTCCTCGTGGGAGTTCTACATTGAAGCTGCTGGACAAGAACAAAACAGGACCATATCTTAAGCAATCGTCATTAAGATGTCGTGCAGAATTTGAGTGGGAGGTACATTAGTATCCAGTTTATTAATCAGACCTCGCCTCACCGGATGATCATTCCCCGCTTTTTTGCAAAGCATATGAGCGGTGTTTTTTTTTTATTCTAGAGATGACCTCAGGCTTTAGAGGCCTTGTTTTGGGACCAGACCCGTGGGGTTGGGGAAAAACGGGTGGGGGAACGAAAGCCGCCAGCTCCAGCCGCCTTTCGCGGCTGGTCCTTACGCAGCGTTGTTGCATGTCGTTCCAGGACCAGCAGTCCACGGAGGCGGCTGGACCTGGCGGCTTTCGTTCCCCCACCCGGGAAAACGAATGAAAATTCGACGGCAAGGTGGCAAAAGGTTGTACGCAACAACGTATCATACACCATTGACTGAATTTTGATGTTTTTCGTTTTATTGGTTTATAAAAAGTTTAGGAACTCGAGGAACGACTCAATAGTATCTACATAACGTTCCGGTGAGGGGAAGCATGCTACTCGTTGCTCATAATGAGTGTGGTGATAGAAAGCGTTGAAACTAGTGACACGAGCTGGCACCTGGATCTGGAAATAAGATCCCTCTGAATTATAAAGTACCCCCCGATGGAATAAATGGTGTAAAGAATGCTTCCATTCATGTTCTACAACGAGAGATAGGTTAAGACAATGACTGAGCGATTCGAGGGCGCTGTTTGTATTGGAGCAGGATTGCCCTACCATTGAAACTTTTCTAGGCTATAAGAAAGTTTAGAGAGAGGAGAGTGTGTAGCCGTTCAGGTATTAGTATAGCATTCAATAAACAGATCAGGTTCATCCGCAAAAAGGCGAAAACTCATGTCAAAAAAGTTGGAAGGATTTTAGCTAATTTGGGCAAGCGTTTGTTAGGCTTTGAATGAGATGAGTTTTCATAGATTTTGCAGACATAGTTTGATGTCTCTCGTGATAACACACCAAGCTTGGTGTCACGTTATTGGAGAACTCAAAGCAAAACTCAAGATTTGAATCTGATCATGTCTCCACAAGCTCAAGAGGCCCGCATCAGACCCCCTAAATCTTATGTCGACTTTGCTTTTTACTCTGAAACAATAACTTGGCACTGTGCCAGCTGTGCCACCTTGTTAAACCCATCTAGCTTTCTGTCCCCCATTCTTGTCAAGAGTTCGTTATAGAATTCATTATGTTCTTCTTCTGCAGCATCATTGATTACATTACCTACATGTATTCTTTATTTCCGGCTTGATCTGAGTTGTTGATGCCGATTATCGCCTACCATATCCCAGCACATCTTTTCAAGATTCTGTTTGAATTCAGGAATTCAGGGTGAACTGAGGCTCATAGAAAAAGTTTGGGTCAACCCACCACTACGTAGGGTACCTCAGCGAGAGTGGCTATAAGTCATGGCAACGCTATACCCCTAAATGCACTTTCAATGAGGTCCTTTAAGTCATTTAGTTTTTGTTTTGCAGATCTGCCGTGTACTTGGAAAAATCACCGCTCATTCCAGCACTATTCCAATAGACGAAAAAAGCGATCTGTCAGAAAGCAAAAAGGATCATTGTTATCAGTCAATTATGACTGTACGTTTTGAGCTGTTAATGAAGTCTAGGTGCTTACATAGGGATAAATATTAGGTCATTCGGAAAGTTTTTTCGCTTTTTGCGCCTTTGATGTTGGTACCATATTTTAAAGGGGGTGCCAAAGGGCTGATAGGGTTTGCTATATATGGATCTGTAGAGGAAGTCTTCTAGTTTCTGAGTATCCCACCGAAGTTGCAGAAAACGCTTTGTAGGGAAGTTTACGCTGCTCTAAATTCGACATGTGAAAACGCGATTTCGAGTAATTGTATTCTCTAAGCTTAAACTTGAGTGTATGACCGTTGAGAAAACCATCATTGTGCGCAATGCATTTGCCAAGATCCTGCCATCCTTCTTGAGGTAGGTTTAAGTTTACTTCAAAACAGATCTTGAAAAGTGAAAGCTAATCTTTTGCAGTGTCCTGGAAGGTGTTCCTGCCATATGAACAAGCATCTCAGAGGGTCCTTTAAAGCAAATCGTAAAGCAAACCTTTAAAGCATATATAGCTGCATAAAATTTTCAGCAGGCCTTGAAGTGTCATAGAACTCCATTAGAAGCCACCTTCGCTAAGGCTGCAATACCGAAAAATTTCAGTGACATGTACCCCACAAATTGTAGCACTCACAGATTGAGGGCGCGGTGACTGCTTTCGTTGCACCTAACTTGATGGAGTAGTTCTTTTTTGACCTGGGTTATTAATGACAGCAAAATTGGCCAGGTTCGGCTACAAGAAGCGACATTGTAGTAAATCATTTGGAATAAACATTGAAAGCATGGCCAGAACAATCAATCATTCCAAAAGATTGATGTACTCAAATTAATGTAATCCTGCTGGTCTTGCACGCTATATACTTGCTAAGATGTGATTGTAATATAAGAGCGGAGTAGTGTGATATCGCTCTGAAGACCGTTTGTCAAAATTTCAAAACTGAGCAGACTTGCACGTATAAGCTATGAGAGATGCCATCCACGCCAATGACTCCGCCAAACCATATTAGGAAAAGTGGCTCTCACAAAAAGGGTTGACTGCGCACCAAGGTTCCTGTTTTATTTTCAAACTCTTTAGACCTTCCTTGAACAATCACCAAATTTTCTTATTCCACGGTGCCTATCAAAAAATAATAGGACCTAATAAATATTAGCTAATCAAAAACGCCTTTCAAGGCTTTATTGATTCCTCTGTGATTATTTCGCAAGAAAATAGTACAGGAGGGCTACAAGAGTGTTAATAGAAATTTGCTGAACACAATGCAGTTTATTTGATGGAAAAAGGTTGAATCTGGAAAAAATTGCGCTCATTTTAATTTGAAGGTGCGAGAACGAAAAAACTTTCCGAATGACCTAATACATTGGGTTGGCACTGAGTAAAGCTTTGTTCATAGTTGTTATATGATATTATGCCGCTGCCAGGTTTGCACAGTGGACTTTGTTGGCCTTTTGTTTCGACAAATTCGTCTTCGTCTGAAAGTGGATTGCAGAGTTGTATCTGCGAGACCAGACCGCCAAACGCTTCCCCACGCTGCCAAGTCTAGACGTTGTTCCGCACTCAACCTACCGAGACATGTTAACAGAAAACGAACCATTATCCACCGTAGTGTTAGTGAGAGTAAATAGAGTCGGTACTTAGCCGCACCGAAGAGACAAACTACACTGAGTCTTGTTCAGCGATCGACACTTATATACGCGCGGACTATCGCTCACAGATCGTTAAGATAGGCAAGAGTTCGGTTGTTATCGATCGTATCCATTTCTATTATTCATGCTAGGATTTCTAAGGAAGCTCTGCCTCGTGTGATAAGATAAGTGACATTTAACGTCAAATTCATCGCCATTGTGATTCTATGTCTTCCAAGCGGTGACATCTTGCTCGTTTCAGCCGCTAGATGCTCCTTAATCTAACGGCGGGGCATTTTAACCAACATTGATACGGCAGCATTTATTGCACAGAATGACGTTTCGGCGATTTTGCCTTCTCCAAATCTGAGAAAGTCAATTCTAGAAACCTATCCGGCCAAAAAACTCGTCGATCACAGAGAAAAACCCGATCTTTTGGAAAAGCAGGGGCGGTATTTATCAATCTCCTCCTATACAGGAAGGGTCCCTGTATAGGTAACAGTCCTTACAGGCGCGCGCGCTGGCGCCCGCGATACGCCAAGCCAAGCTGGCGTTCGGACTCCTGAATATTGGGGAATATGGTTCGATCTGGCAAGTTTGGCCCTGTCGGGTGCGGCAGTGGGGCAGCAGAGCCCGATCTCGACAGGTCGGGCTCCGCTGCCCCACTGCCGTGCCGACATGGCCAAACTTGCCAGATTGGACCACATTCTAAAGTTTGATAGGCACTCTTTGGTAATGGCTCGAACAGCGAGTGGGAGGTTGATATATACCAACCCAGGAGTGCAGTCAAAGCTACAAGAATGAGCTCAAGCTAGTGCTAAGCAGAACATCTCCAATCATGACAAGATTCATCGACAATCGAGCACGCATTATCAGGGACAACGTTCTGCGTTGTTTCTTCTGTTCATCGAATGTCCAAGATACATATAA